GCAGCAGCAGCTGGTGCACGCCCAAGCTCTTGGCCTCGGCTCGCACTCCTCCCTGATGGACTCTGCCGCCTTCTCGAGGCCGCTCTTGCCTCCCAACTCATCTCTGGTGACGCAGCCACCGCTGCCTCCACCGGGCTTCCTGCCGGCTCACCGCCAGCCGCCGCAGCTCCATCCGAGGAAAGCGGAGAGGGAGAGGGACAGAGCCGCGGGAGCGCAGCAGCCCCAGGTCCGGCGCCACCAAGAACCAGCGAGGAATGGCGTTCTCGGCGGTGGCGGTGGCGCGGCGCCCCCATCGGCGGTCTCTACGCTCGGCCTCGCGTCCGTGGGGCCGGTGGTGGAGGCGGCGCAGTGGAGGTACCGGGAGTGCCTGCGGAACCACGCGGCGCGGCTTGGCGCGCACGTGCTCGACGGCTGCTGCGAGTTCATGCCGTCCGGGAGCGACGGGGCCGCCGCGCTGACCTGCGCCGCCTGCGGCTGCCACCGCAGCTTCCACCGACGCGAGGCAATCCCCGGCGGCGTCGCTGCCGCTGTGGCGGTATTACCCTCGCCGGTGACCCCCACCGCCAACTCCTCCCGTGTCATGCCGCTGCTCCTGGCCCCGCCGCACATGCATACGCGCCCACCGCACGTCCCGGCGTCCCCGGTGTCCGCGCCCGCCGCGCTGACCGAGTCGTCGAGCGAGGAGCTGCGCGGCCCCGCGCCCGCGCACCCGTCCGCGCCGACGCCGACGCACCCGCCCCACGCGCAGGTGGCCGTAGCGGGGTCGGCCTCCGCTCCCCCGGCGCCGAGCCAGAAACGTTTCCGGACCAAGTTCACGGCGGAGCAGAAGGACCGCATGCGCGAGTTCGCGCACCGCGTCGGGTGGCGCATCCACAAGCCCGACTCCGACGCCGTGGACGCCTTCTGCGCCCAGGTCGGTGTCTCCCGGCGCGTCCTCAAGGTGTGGATGCACAACAACAAGCACCTCGCCAAGATCCCGCCCTCGCCCCCATCCTCCCACCAGCCGCCGCCGCCGCTGCCTCACCACCACGAGCACCACCCACCTCCACCTCCGCACCACCTCCACCATCACCACCCGCCGCCGCCGCCGCCGCCGCAGCAGCAGCAGCAGCATGATGCATGAGAGAGCACCGAGTAGCCGCAGAGCAATGCGAGAGGATCAGACGATGCCATTAGCTTATTAGCTCCTTTATTTATCCTTCTTCTTCCCTTGTAATTTCGGTGACATCCCGGTTGTTGAGAAGATGACTCATCATGCTGCAGGTAGGAGGGATTAATATGATTATGTGACCTAATCTCATCTCAGACATACTTCTACTTCCCAGCCTTACGTCGTCCTCGTTGCTTTCTTGGATTACCTCCATTATTAGGTTATTAGCGTCAATGGCGCTTGCATTGACATCCATTACACTTCTTTCTTATGGTAATGACCTAATAATGTTCACTGTGTTAGTTTTAGGGCTTTCTCTTTCCCTCGCTCCTAGTGTCCTCTCTCTCATACAGAGATGGTGCATGCGCATCTGTGTTTGGATGTGTGCAGTGTCGTACCAGTGCTGCTGCAACCCTGCATTGCCATTGCAATGCTCTCTTGGGCGCCTCCTCCTTTTGACTTTGCTTTTTGGGCTTGTTGGATTCCTTTTGGCAGGGCAGCCGCTCCGGGGAGTCCAGAGCATTGTGCCGTGCTCTGTGTGCAATTGCATTGGCATTGCATGCATTGGGGTCTGGTTTTTGGTTTGGTTGGGTTTGGTGAGGGGCCCTTTTGCTGGGAGGGGAATGTACTTAGGCATGGGGCTTTGTCATTTGGTGTGCAAAGTACCATTAGGAGGGGTCATTAAAGCAGGGTTCCTGGCTTCTAAGCCCATCTCCCAGCAGTTGCTTTCTGTCCTCCCTGAGGGTGTGTGTCCTCTTCTCATCATGTTTGTTTGATCGTATCAGACATGCTTATCAGTCATGATACAATGTTTTTCTCTCGCAACAAAATAGCATCAGCCGGCTTATAAGACACAGAAACAATCAAGTGAACATGGTGTTACGTGGCGATGTATCGTGGACTAGTAGGAACCATTATGAATGTTTTAAGTAGGAAAGAACCCTTTACCGGGCTTGTTCAGCTGGTATTAAAGTCGGCTAATAAACCGGGTGAAGCTGATTTTTTGAGAGAAAAATAATGTAGATTTTAGCTGATAACCCGGTTGATAAATTCAAAGGAATAGGCCCTTCTGTTTGTATTTAGGCCCATAGATGAAGTTTAAATAGCTACTAAGAATGGGTTTTAGGAAATGAGGTGGGTTACACATAAAGGATTAGAATTTTTCTCTTTTCCCATGTTTGGCTTTTTTGGATTTAGGTTATGTTTATGTGGTGGGACTAGGCCAAAAATGTAGAACATGTTCATGTCGGATCCCTTATTTCATGAATGTCATTATGAACAATCATGTTGTTGTTTTGGAAAGATTTATGTTCTCGTATTACTATTGCATTACAAAGTATCCCTCCACGTAACTATTTTTGTTCTCCGTTCCTCGTTAGGTTTCCTCCCGTGAACATACATGCTAAGTTCTACTCAGTTTCAACTTTCAACAATGTAAAAAGAGTTAGCTATAAAATATTTTATTAAGAATGAGGGAGAATAATAAGTTAGCTTTTTATGAAAAGCTAAGCTCACACACTTTTTCTATTATTAATGTCCCCACAATGCAACTTAGATCGATGAAAATAAAAGTAAAAGTAAAGTCTATTGGTGGTCGTCATCATACTTGTTCACATGTGGCATGGTGGCCATCTCTAAACATGTAAATCATACGTTTAGATCCTCAAGCTTGTTCAATTGTATCATCTTAGATCCCTAAACTTGCAAAGCACCCATTTATTCAATTGTATCATCTTAGTCTTTAAACCTACAAATCATTTGTTAGGTCCGAACACAGATCGAGTATCTAAATAAGCGGTTAATGAGTTTAGGGACAAACTTGTTCAACTATATCACACGGTCCATAAACTGGTAAATCGCCTGATAGATGGTGAGTAAAATGATATAGCCAAACAAATTTAAGTACCTAAACTAAATATGTAGGCCCTGTTCGGCTTACCTTATAATCCACACTATTTAGCTTTTTTTTTTTCAGTCAGAATAGTGTTTTCCTCTCACAGCAATTCAGCTAGAGCAGTGTTTTTGAGCCAATTCAGTCAAGTTTCAGCAAGCCAAACGGGGCCGTGACGTGTGAGTTTTAGGGACCACATACCTAAACTTAGTCATTTTTAATCACTAAAATGTCAAACACTTTTACTCAAGTTTAAAGAGACATTAAAGTATAGTGGCTTTTAGCCACTGAAGAATAGGTAAAAGTGACTAAAGTGTAACGGCTGCTCGCTAACTTAGCGGGCCCCTAACCTAAGACGCAGCCGACAAAGTTTTAGAATCGGCGGTGGACTTTACTTAAAAAAGAAAAAAAAAGGAGCTGACGACTGACCTCGCGTACCCGTGCGGCGGGGCCTAGTGACGCACGCGGCGAGGCAGCTACGGCCGGCCGAGCGGGCGGCTGGCAGGTGGCAGCGCAGCTCTATGGGAGTGAGGCGGCCGCCGGCCCCGAGCTGCTACTGCTCGAGCTTGGCGACGGGCGGTTCGCTGCGCCGCGGACGGCCTGTGCGACGAGGCGAGGGGGACGGCTCCGGCGTCGCTCGTGGCAAGGCGGGCGAGGGCTCCGGCGGCCCTTGCGGCAAGGCGGGCGGCGACTCCGACGGTGTCACGAAGCGGGCAGCAGCTCCGGCACCACAGTGTACAACCGATAACCGGCGTCGGCAACTGGCCAACGTTGGGTGTTTTCCGGCCCTCGCATTCATGCGACCGCTCCAAAAGCTTCTAGAAGCCGCTGCTGCCGCCACCTCTACCCCTCTCGCCGCCGCGCATCTCCACGTTAACCTTCTCCGCTCTTCGCACCACCTCACCGCGCACGTCCTCGCGTGGTACCCTCCGGGCCTCGCCCGCGACCTGTTCGACGAAATCCCCAGTCCAACGCCTCGCCTGGCCAATGCGCTCCTCCGCGCCCACATACGCGCGCGGCAGTGGCGCGCCGCTATCCAACTTGGTCCGCGGCTCCGAGTGCGCCCGGATGGCTTCACCTTCTCGCTCCTGCTAAGGTCCTGCGCCGCGCTCCCCTCGCTCGCCCAGGGCCGCGCTGTGCACGCGGTCGCCGTACGCTCTTCACCGCGTCTGAAGACGCCTTTGTCGCCACAGCGATCGTGCAGATGTACGCCAGGTGTGGAGACATGGTTGGGGCCATCAATGCATATGGCGTGCTTGAGAAGCCGGACATTGTGCTTCGGACGTCTGTGGTAACCGGCTACAAGCAGAACGGAATGGCCGAGGAAGCACTGGGTTCGCGGTTGGCAACCGTTCTTTTCAGAACGATTGGTCAAGGCGTATGTAATTAATTATTTTTTATCTACATTTAATACTCTATGTATGTATCACAAAAATTTGATGTGATGTGTGAAAAAACTGAATCGGCAGCAGTTCACCCGAATCGGCGGCGGATGAAATCCGGAAGGGACAGGCGTGCGTTTTTGCTTTGTTTGTAATAATTGTCGATCGTTGACTAATTAGGCTTAAAATGTTATCTAGCTTTACAACTAAATAAATTAGTTTTTCTTTTCGATTTTATTTGAAGATCGGTGATTTCCAGGCAAATCTTCTTTTTTTATAGTTCCCAAGTTAGGAGTTGGGAGGAACTAAGACGGATTAGATCTAAATGTTTTTTGATTTTGGCACTTGTAGCTGCATGATTCTATTTAACAATTAGTTCAATTATGGACTAATTAGTTTCAAAAGTTTCAAATCTCGTGATTTCTCATCCAACTTATGCAATTAGTTTTTTTATCTATATTTAATACTCTACATTAAACTTTTGATGTGATTTGGTACTGCATATGGCCTGGAGTTCTTTGCAAGGAATGTGGTTGGTCAAGGCGTTATGCTGACACCAGTCACACTTGTGAGTGTGATGTCGGCAGCAGCACAGTTGGGGCATGTCCGGAAGGGACAGGCGTGCCACGCTTATGTTGTCAGGAACAGCTTGGGCTATGATCTAGCTTTATTAAATGCTGTTCTTGGATTTTATGTGAAGATCGGTGATTTCCAGGCATCTATGAGGTTGTTTGAGGGTACGACGGATAGGGATGTGATCACTTGGAGCTGCATGATCAAAGGGTATGTTCAACATGGAGATGCACACGAGGGGTTGAGAATGTACAGGGAGATGGTTAAGGCACGTGTCCAGCCCAATTCAGTGACTTTAGTGAGTGTTCTGCAGGCTTGTGCGCTTGTTGTTGATGCTGAGGAAGGTAAGAGAGTTCACCGGGTTGCTGTCAGAATAGGTTGTGAGCTTGAGGTGGGTGTAGCGACTGCTCTGGTTGATATGTACATGAAGTGCTCATGTTATGAGGAGGCAATGTGCTTATTTCATCGGATGCCAAAGAAAGATGTGGTCGCTTGGGCTGTTGTCATTGGTGGCCTCACACAAAATGAACTCCCTGGTGAATCCCTCCATGTGTTCAAATGCATGTTGTTGGATGATCATGTTCCTGATGCCGTCACGATGGTGAAGGTACTGTTAGGATTGTAGGATTGGTACCTCTGTGTTTAACCCGTAGATCCGCCCTGGACAATAGCGTCGTGACCTCGCGGACACCGATGTCGAGGCAGCTCCGGCTCGGTGGCGAGGTACATTGGTGGTCCAGAGCGGCCGGTGTAGACCTGCAGGGGCGACGGCGGTGGTGGGGCACATCCCATCGCTTCCAGCACTATCTTTAGATCGGTTTAGGTTACTGTAGGTGGGAGTGGCGGCTCACGGCGAACCTCATAGTTGTAGCCCCGATCCTCACCTTCTCTATTTGTATGTGCTGTGCGACAGGGCCCACCAATCAGTTAGGGTTGGGCTCCCCCGATCAGGGAGCAGGGGCAATGGCCCAATAGACCGTTGAGCCTATTGGTGGAGATCAACTAACATTCTCCCCCTTAATCTCATTCCATCTTTCACTATCATATCATTTACTTTTGTTCATTCCATTACAGATTAGCTCATAGAGCATGTCTTATCGTCACGGTCCATTTCCGATAGACTTAACAGCTACAACTCACTACTCTGTTCTGAAATAGATACTTATCTTTGGGTCTTCTTTTGTCTAGGAATTTTAGGCTTTCCCTTAAACCCATGCTAGCTACATGTTCTCTGAACATGTTGGGTGATAAGCCTTTTGTAAGCGGATCCGTGAGCATCTTTTCTATACTTATATGCTCAAGACTTATGACTTGATCCCAGACTTTATCTTTCACAACATAATACTCTATGTCAATGTGTTTGGCAGCACCACTTGACTTATGTTGTGAGCATCCTTTACTGCCAGATTATAATCGCAGTATAACTTTAGTGGTCTATAGATGTCGTCAACCACCTTCAAACCGGGTATGAACTTCGTTAGTTAGTTCACCTGCCCGTTGCCTCATAACACGCTACAAACTGTCATACATTGTGGACGATATAGTGACAGTTTGCTTTAAGCTTTTCCATGAAATAGCTCCCCTTTGCGAGATGATAGAAAATCCACGTCTGGATATGCATTCACTCTCGCATAATCAGAATCTGAATATCCCACCATATGGAGTGAATCAGATCTTCTATATGTTATCATGAGGCCTTTCGTTCCTTGTAAATAATGCAAGACTTTCTTTACTAATTTTAGTGTTCTATTCCAGAATTGCTCTGGAATCTGTCAAGTAAAATCCGGTAACAAATGCTAAGTCAGGGCGCGTACATACTTGAGCATGTTGCAAGCTTTCGACAGCTGAAGCATATGAAACCACTTTTACTTTATCGATTGAGCTCATATTGGTTCCTAGGGCATTTAAAATCCCCATATCTGTCGCCCTTGACTATAGGAGCAGGTGAGGGACTACATTTGTGCATACTGAATTTCTTTAAGATCTTTTCCATGTATGCCTTTTGTGACAGTCCTTATACCCTTTTTTCTTCTATCTCGGTGAATCTCGATCCCTAGAACGAATGAGGCTTCGCCAAGATCTTTCATATCAAATTTCTTTGTCTCCAGTAGTAGACTGACATCACTACTAGCAAGTAAGATATCATCTACATACAGGACAAGGAAGATAAACTTCCCATTCTTAAACTTTGTATTGACACAATTGTCATCTATATTCTCTTTACTTTGTATAGACACAATTGTCCTCTACATTCTCTTTAAAACCCAAAATTCTTTCTTGTCTGATCAAACTTCAAGTACCACTGTCTTGAAGCTTGTTTTAATCCATAAATGGATTTCTTTAGGCGACATCATATCCGTTCTTTTCCTTACATGACAAAACCTTTCGGTTGTGCCATGTAAACATTTTCCTCTAAGTCTCTGTTGAGAAATGCCGTCTTTACATCCATCTGATGTAATTCTCAATCGTAATGTGCCACTAATGCCATTATGATTCTGAAGGAAACTTTACATGAGACTGGAGAAAAGGCCTCATTGTAATCAATCCCTTCTCTTTGCATATAGCCTTTTGCCATAAGTCGCGCTTTATATTTCTCTATATTCCTTTGAGAGCCAAGTTTTGTTATGTAGACCCATTTACAACCTACTGTTTTGACTCATTTAGGAATTATTTTCAAGTCCTAAACTTTATTGGCATTTATTGATTTCATTTCATCTTCCATGGCCTCAAGCCACTTTGATGAATGATCACTTCTCATGGCTTCTTCAAATAAGGTGGGATCATCCTCTATTTGAAATTCCCCAGTGTTGTATACTTCATAATCAGCAGGAATAGCTGATTTTCTAACTCTTTGAGACCTTCTAGGGTCCTCCACTTTTAGCACATCTTCTGTTTGAGGCTGTTGTTGCTTCCTCTCATGTGTGGCAATAGGTTCTATAGAATCCTGAAGAACAGGTTCCTCATCTTCATTCATTGTTGCCACAGGTAGGATAACAACAGGTGCTGGTACCACAGTATCTAGCACTGTCGGTGCAGCTACAGCAGGTAGTGAGAAAAATGGCTTTGGAATCATTGGAGTGGGCGCATACACCCGCTTCACTTCAAGGACAATTTCTCGAGCTACCATGCTCCCCCTCATCTTTTCGTCCTCTAGGAAGACAGCGTGTCTCGTTTCCACAAACTTTGTATGTCTCCCTGGACAGTAGAAAACGAAAACCTTTTGACTTTTCTGGGTAGCCAAAGAAATGGCACCTTACTATTTTGGGATCTAACTTCCCAATGTTTGGGTTAAAAACTTTAGCCTCAGCAGGGCTCCTCCACACACACGCAAGTGGTTTAGTGAGGGTACTCTTTCTGTCCACAACTCATACGGTGTTTTGGGCACCGACTTTCTTGATACTCTATTAAGAATATGAATGGCGGTTTTAACGCCTCCACCCACAGGCTCAACTGTAAGGTGGAGTAACTTATCATACTGCCCACCATATCCATCAGGGTGCGATTGATTCTTTTAGCTACTCTATTCTGCTGAGGTTCGTCCGGTGTAGAATACTGGGCTACTATGCCATTCTTTTAGGGTATACCGACCGTAGTACTCCCCTACGGTCAGACCTGACTATCTTAATCTTTAATATCTTAAATTTATCCAATACATCTTTTTCTTTCTTTAATTGGATAAATATAGCCATAATGGGAGTAATCATCTGTGAATGTTATGAACGGATCATAACCATCCACACTCTTTACAGGAAAGTTGACCACAGATATTTGTGTGAATAATCTATAAAATTTCTGCGCTTCGTTTGTCATCTTTCTTTATATACTTTTCCTTTTATGCATTCTCTGCATTGTTCTTAATCTGAGAGCTCTAATGGAGGAAGAATCTCATTCTTAACTAGTCTTTCTATTCTCCTCCTCGAAATATGACCTGAATGATAGTGCCATAATTTTGACAACGCATCGTGAGCTCTCTTATTCCAACACTCTGTCACCAGCACTTTATCAGCGGTAGCATATGTCTTTGAAGAGCCAGTGAACTGACTCTTTATTCTATCGAGGTACTCGGTGACCGTGTCACATTCTAGGATTGAACCCACAATTGTAGGCTCAATCGTGTTCTTTATCACAGTCAAACATTTCTGGTTGGCAGTGACACACTTCCTATGTTCAAAGTCATAGGACTATCTTTTGGGATTCAAAATCCCTCTCTTTAGTTGCCCAAGTGGCATCATTCTCTTTTGTCTCCCTCACCGGTACCACAAACTCAGTGGAACACGGTAAGGTGACTACCCAGTTCACCTTAGACAAGATCAAAACCAGGTCAAAAGTTTTGTTAACATAAAAATAACACCATTTGCATGCCTTGATTCCAACGTTGGTCAAAATCAAAACATACAACTATTCTTATACACTAATTCTACATCACCGTTGGGCAGAAATAGAATTAATGCATAAACCGTTAACTTTCACAATTGTTCTTACACGCTAATTCTACATCACCGTTGGGAAATAGAATTAATGCATAAATTATTAACTTTTACAACTATTCTCATACACTAATTCTACATCACCGTTGAGCAGAAGTAGAATTAATGCATAAATCATTAAAATTATAATATTGTTATTAACAACGTTGGTCAGAAAATAACAACATCATAATCCATGACAAATCTCTTTTTCTCCAATTAAATACCACTTTGGTTCAAAATAACTGGAGAATCAATAATTTCTTTAGCAGCAGAAAACTCACTTTTTCTCCAATTAAATACAACGTTGGTTCAAAATAACTGGAGAATAAACAACTTCTTTAGCTATGGAAAAACTCTCTTTTTCTTAAATTTTACCCACAGGGAAAATTGATTTTCCTTTTTCTTTAATCCATTAATTATTTTTTAGGAAATAAACATTTACTAAAAAAACTTTCTTTTTCTCCAGTTAAATATCATGTCGGTTCAAAATCAATGGAGAATATACTTTTTCTTTAGCAGCGGAAAAAACTTTCAATCAATTTCTTGAATTTTACCCACATGGAAAAATTTACTTTTTCTATATTTTCTTTTGAGCCAATTTCAATTTTTTTTCAATTTTCTAGAAAAAGAAAAAAATCGAAAACGGGCTCCTTCTTCACTATTTCGGCCCAAGACTGGCAAAAGCCGGCTCGCGTGCCCAAATTCTTGCCTGCCTTCGATCGCACCTGAAAGCCACAACTTTGGTCTAGGCTTAAAAGTGATTCGGCACACATACTCACTTTGGCCCATGAAGTTGGCCCATTTAATCTTGATCGTTCATCCAGCATCGGACGGCCAAGCGTCGATTTCTCTCGGTTAAAAACCCCGATGCCGTGCGCCCGGGGGAAAACCCTAGCTTCATTCTTCCCGGTGCTCTCTCTCTCATCGCCTCTCTCTCTTTTTCTCTCAACAGTAGTATGCCGCAATCCGAAATGCGATTTGACGGCGAAAGAGCGGACGGTGGAGCGAGGCAGCCAGCAGGCGACCATGGCGCCGTCGCGTCAGCCCTCGTCGCCGCCGCTGCGTGCTCTAACGGATGAGCACGCCGCCGCCGAGCGGCTTGCCCATGGTGCCCCTTTGCTTGAGCCCAATGACAGTACCCCAGTTCGGCCTTTCTTCTCCACGCCAGTGAAGGCCGGGCGAGGTAGGTCCACCCTTCCCCTTGGATTTGGATCTCCTTTTTCTCTTATCCGAATCGATAGGTGGGGATTAGGGTTTAGGTCTAGGGTTAGGGTTCATGTGCCAACCTCGTTTCTTTTCCCCTTCCCTTTCGGATTTGAATCTCGCCCTCTTTTCCGAATCGGTTATAGATCTAGGGTTCTAATCCGACCTGTCATCTTTTCTGATTTGTCTTTGTGATCTTTTTTTTTCTTTTCGGAGTTCATCCGAATGGATCTAGGGTTAGGGTTCGTGTGCCGATCCCTGTTTCTCTTCTTCTTTCTTTTTTGTCCTTTCTTTTCTTTGATTTCTTTTCTCTTTTGGAGTTCATCCGAATGACTTTCCCCTTTTCCCTTTCTCCATGCGAGTTAGGGTTAGGGTCTTTCCTCTTCCCCTTCTTCTTTTGGGATTAACCCGATTTGGGATTGGGGTTAAAATTAGGGTTAGGTCTTAGGGTTTGGCCAAATCCAAACTCACTCTTCATCTTTCCTTAGATCCGAACGGGATCTGTTTGGTTCTTTACTTTTGCCGTGCGCCGTTGAACGGTGCGGCTTCTTTCCCCCACGCGCGGTGGCGGTGATGACCGGTAGACCGTGATGTCCGCCACCCCGGTCACTCTTTTCTTTCCTTTTACCCGGTTAGGGTTAGGGTTACACACTTGTAACCTGGCTCCGATACCATTGTTAGGATCGTAGGATTGGTACCTCTGTGTTTAACCCGTACATCCGCCCTGAACAATAGCGTCATGACCTCGCGGACACCGATGTCGAGGCAGCTCCGGCTCGGTGGCGAGGTATAGTGGTGGTCGAGCGGCGGTGTGAACTGCAGGCGGCGGCGGTGGTGGGGGGGCACATCCGTCGCTTCCAAAGACTATCTTTAGATCGGTTTAGGGTTACTGTAGGTGGGAGTGGCGGCTCACGGCGAACCTCGTAGTTGGAGCCCCGATCCCCACCTTCTCTATTTGTATGTGTTGTGTGACAGGGGCCCACCAACCAGTTAGGGTTGGGCTCCCCCGATCAGGGAGCAGAGGCAAGGGTCCAATAGACCGTTGGGCCTATTGGTGGAGATCAACTAACAGTATTTGCTGCATGCTCAGAATTTGGTGGTACTCGCCCATCCATTTGTCTCCGTGGCTATTTAGTTAGAAATGGTTTCAATAATAATGCATTTGTAGCTGCTGCACTTCTTGATTTGTATTCAAAATGTGGAGACTTAGATAGCGCTGTCAGGGTATTTGAAGGTACTACAGAAAAAGATGTTGTGGTGTGGGTCTCAATGATTGCTGGTTATGGAGCCCATGGCCTTGGTCAGGAAGCTGTTGCGTTGTACCAAAGGATGATTGCCTCATCAATTCAACCCAACAGTGTGACATTTGTGTCAGTGTTATCAGCATGCAGCCACTCTGGCCTGGTTCAGGAAGGAATACAAATTTTTGATAGCATGACTCAAGTTTTTGGAGTCGTGCCAAATGCCGAGCATCAAAGTGCCATGGTTGATCTCCTTGGTCGGGCCGGTGAACTGCAAGAGGCTATAAGGTTCATTCGTGATATGGATGGAAGAGCTGTTGCCCATACTTGGTGTGCCTTGCTTGCTGCATGCAGAGAACACAACAACACTAAGATGAGCATAGTAGCAGCAAAGAGTCTGCTCAAGCTGGACCCTGACCATGTTGGCTACTACAATCTCTTGACAAATATATATGCATTTGATGAGAAGTGGGAGAGTGTAAAGGACACAAGGGACACGGCGAGGGGTAGAGATCTGCGTAAAGTGCCAGGTTACAGTTCAGTTGAGGTCGTAACTTAGTGCACACGTTCATTGCTGGGGAGAGGACTCACCAAGATTGGGATAATATCTGTACATTGCTCTGTGATCTGTCACGGAAGTTGAGAGGCGAGGACTGCTCCTTTCAAGTAGGCACTAGCTGAGCATTCGAGGATTCTGCTGATTGCTCTTCTTTGAGTTGAAATTGATACTTGATGTACCTCAACTATTGGTGAACTTCTAGAAGAAACCTGGTGGAAGAAAATGAAATTTTCAAAGGTGGAAATTCATCATACAAATTTGCAGTAATTTTAGGATTGTATATGTAGACAGTTATATTTGAGTTAAAGATCAGTAAGTACTAGGTAGGTTGGAGCATGCATATCCTGTAGTTTTGTTCCTAAAGAATGTTTGGGCATTTCAAAGTTCTACAACCTGCAGATTTTGTAGCCTGTAGGCAGGTAGCTTATTAAAGTATTTGAACAGGTCTTATTATAAGCAATTGGAGGGTGTCTGGAATCTTCATTGATGATTCTCTGCATAAATTGCTAGTTTTTAGGGAACAGAAAAGCTCCAAGCCTCCAAATTTTTGCTAAACATTCATGTTAAAGTTACCGGCATCTTCTACATTCTGATGAGTGCAACTTTCAATAGCTAACATTGCCTTCCCAATGGAATGATGATGGCCTTCTTGTATTGTGTGTAGGGAAATATGCCCATAGGTACTGCAAACTAGTGCCTGTCTTTTGTCCCTACTATGTATGATATATCGCATGCAAATGAACAGGTATTGAATCTGCTACCAATTTTCTGTGATTACATTATATCTGTGTTGTGAAATGTGGTCTTAAATTTCATGACTTAGTATATGAAAGTGTGTAGAATGCATCAGCGCTATTGCAAAGCAAAGCTACCTGTAGGGGAAAAAAAACTCTTTTTGTGATATGTTTAATGAAACCCTTTTTTGGTAGTTGTAGTCTTCTTTTAGATAAACAGGATATGAAATGAACTGGCCTTTTCACCTTCATCTACTAGTTATAACAGGTTAAGGAAATTTAGGTGTATTGGTCAGCCTAGTATAGTATTATCTACCTACTGGTGCATGTTAGCACCAAAAATGGACTTTTTTATTCTTTTATCACAAATGGTAAGAGTTGTTTAGCCTCAACACTCGAATGGACTTCACAGCACTTGAACAAAGTTGACACTCTAGAATGCTAGTGCTTTGTGGAACTGTTACTATTTCTAGTCACAAATCATTGTGGTCTGGACACTAACAGGAATCTAGCTGGCTTCAACCTGCAGAACAGACAGTAAGGTATTTGGGTCACCAATATATTGCATATATAAGCCGTGGTAGCATAATTCAAATCTTTTCATGCAGTCGGAACCCCTTTCTTAAGGGCTTTTGCAGCCTTTTTTGAGGGGCAATTTTGCTTGAGCTGCTTCTACATCTACTGCCCTTCTGCCAAAGCTCTAGTGCAGGTACAGTAGTGAGCGTAGCACGGGGAGTAGAGGGTTTTTTTTTTGGCCCCATCACTGCCTTTGGCCACAACCACAAGTGCAGCATTACTGTTAGTCTGTTACTGTAGCTGGAGTTGGGGGCCTGGGGGCTTCGGCCAGAAGGCAGGTGTGTGTGCCATGTGAGTGTGAACTGCTGTGTCAGGAACTCGAAAGAGAGAGAAAGAAGCCCTGTGTTGTATTCGAGTGTATGCTGGATTCATGGATTATGGGTACAATGCAGCAGGGTGAATGATGATATGTGAATTGTCGGCAGCTGGAGGCTTGGATCGGAGCCATCCAAACATTGTTGTGTCTGATGTGTTAAGGAGAAAAAGGTGTGTTGTCTTGTTGGTAACGACGTCTCATCTCATTTAGTCGTTTTATGTCACCAGCACAAGCATAACAACAGCTACAAAATGATAGGGCAATTTGTAGGAAGAGTAGGGTTGGTGGAATTGGATATTTGCCCTAGGCTGGTATATAGAGAGTTTACATGACCTGGGGATCAAGTCTATATGAGATCGTAATCCTAGCTAACTCTATTCTAGTCATAATATACCCTAACACCCCCTGCATTCACGGAGGGAACGCCGTAGACAATGAGATTATAGAAGAAGCTGAAGGTGGAAGGTTGGAAGCGGACAATCAACACCCCCCCAAGTAAGTAGGCATGGTCCAAAAGGTTGTGCTGGAGATGCCATGTTCGCTTCTCTTATAATCTGTCTTTTTTCACTGTTTTTTCAAATAATGAGTGTTTTCTCTCACAACAAATCAATGAACAGCAGTGTTTGACTTTTTTTTCAATGGCACGGGCCATGTCGAGGCAGATGCACAGGAAAGCTCAGGCGCAAAAGAGGTGCCATGGTAATGACAGACACATCGAAGCACTCGCCATGGAAGAGGGCGATGATGTGTCGGTGACAGTGGGATTGGAGAAGATGCACGTCTTTACGAGAGCCGGGTATTCCACGCACCATCGGTTGATTAGACCTAGTACGCACGATGGCGCGAGGCGCGATGAGGATGGAAAAGTTAGCAGAGGCATTCGCCATGGCTGAAAGTACTGTTGGCTGGTTTGGTGTGAGAGAAAAATACTGTTCGTTGACTGATAAGCCATGGCTTATAAGCCAAATACGACCGAGCGAACATGCTGTACGAATACGTGTTGATGGGATGACTGAGAAAGTGAGAAGCGATGCAGGAGGCGTCCCCTCGATATCGTGTGTCTGATCAAGGAAAAAATAGATAGCGTCAGGTCAGGCGGTGGACCGGTGGTCGTGGGCTTAGGGGCAGCGCGACAGTCCAACGTCTTGACGGCATGACGACCGACCACCACGGTGCAGCGCTCAACACCCCGAACAATGGGTACGGTAGCCCACTGAGATGAAGACGATCACAAAGAGGTAGGCTCGATCCGCTACTTGATGACGATGACGATGACGACAGACTGGCTGGATCAATAGGATCCGTCGTCTAAACAGTGGCGCTGCCACAGTGGAGATTGATCTCTCCGGGAGCGCGTGGTGTGAAAGCGAGCGACAGCTAAGGTTAAGATCTGAATCTAGTCTCAGGATACCATTTAGGAAAAGTAGAATTGGTTGAATTGGATTATTTGCGTTGAACCTCTACAGCGGTATATATATATAATTTACATAACTTAGAGGTGAACCCAGTACGGCCTTGTTTGGATACACATGTATTCATCTCAATCCACATGTGTTGAAGTTGAATTAAACTAAGTTACATTTCATTCCACTCCAACACATGCGGATTGGAGTGGATATATATGCATGCAAACAAGGCCTACGTGGGACCGTAATCACAATTAACTATCATAATCATCATATACTTATACATTAACACATTTACTCTTGATTCTGAATTCTGTAATTGGTGTTTCTGTGTCTAGTTCTGAATCGGGAGTATCTTGTAGTAGCACAGATAAGATTTGCGTGATGTATCTCTAAAAATTCTCTTTCGTACCCTTGTTTAATGCATTCAGGATTTCGAATAACATTGGATGAACTAGAACCTCACTTTTGATATATGCCAATGTCAATAGAGCTTTTCGGTCATTTTTTCTATTGATTTTCATGCGAGCAGCAGCCGCCGCCGCCGGGGCAACAAAAACTACAGAGTGCACAAACACAACCAATAAATAAGGGCCCCCTAAATCTGCAGGTACCGTGTACTTTGCAATAGCTCACCTTTTGTGGTTCCAAAAGCAAGATTTTCAGACGACGTTACTGATACAGTGATATGGGTGAACGTGTGTGACCATGCTTATTAATTCGACCGGAGACTGCATCATTTACCCGAAGTCCGAACCATCATTGATCTACCATGGGGACCAGCACTGGGTCGCACTATTGTGTCCGTCACTTGTCTACGTAGTCAAAAAGACTCTTTTGTTTTTTGGTGTAATCAGTACAGAAGAAAATAGAGTGACAGCCAATTAAAAAAGAAGAGAAAAGAAACAAGCTCATTAGAAACTCCTTCGCTCAAATTCCTGTTTTCCACAATGTTAATTCTGAACACTTGCACTTTATTTTATGCTCTGAATCTGAGGTGCACATTGTTCTGAGCTCAGATGAGGAAAAAGTAATGCATTGGTGTAAACAGGATGAGACGGTTTCAGTAACCGGGCATGACACGAGGCAGCGAAGAAAGTTCAGAAAGAAAAATCGCTTGCAACCAATCAATTAAAAAACGGACAAGTTCAACAATTATCACCTAAATAACTTGATCCTTTTCTTTGGCACAAACAAGCGTACCAAGAATGGGGCACGACTGCACGAGAGACTAGGAAAAAGTTAAAACACAGCGCAAACCTACTAAAATGAGTTAACTATAAATTCAGTTGACCACAACCGGCCTATTTGTATGTCCATCCGGGGCCAACCCTTGCTTCAGGCAAGGCACATGGAACAAAACTGGTGGGAATAGACCCTCCGTCTAAAAAATGTCCCAAGGGATCCAATTCCAAAACATGCAATACTACTTAAAGTCAGTGGGAGGTGATTGTCACTCATCACCAAACCCAATCTCTGATAACTTGAAACCTGTGGCTTCCAGGTAGATATTTCTTATTGATCAAACCATACCCTCAGAAGCAAGCTTGATGCGTTGGTGATGCTCAGTCACTTTGTAGTCAACTACCTCCGAAAACAACTGGGGATCCAATATACAGTCAGGCCGGCCATAAACAGCAGCTTGCACACTAGCCACCAGCTTCGCAATCTCCCTGCCAGAAAAGCCATCAATCTTCCTTGCAGCTTCCCTGAGCAAATCGTCGCTTATGCCATTCACCTGAATCTTCCGCTGCTGCTTCTTGAATAATGCACCCCAAGAAGATCCTTTGCCCTCTTCCTTGAGTATATATTGGTCCAAGTATAGCTTGAGCAGTTGAAACCTCTCCTCCTCCCCAGGCAGGGGGAACTCTATGACTTCATCAATGCGGTCAGTGATAGCAGCATCAAGGTCACCCGGTCTGTTTGTTGCCAGGACAAGGACAATATCCCTGGACTGGTCACCAGTTCGAAACAATAATGCATTGAGAGCGCTCCGCTGAGCTTCGCTCATATGGGTACTGTTACGCCTGGTACATTGGTAAATAAAAACAAGCGATTAGAGATAGATGGAACCTGTGGAACTTCTTGTACTAGTGGTACCAACCATTCAATGCAAACACATTTACAGCTTTATTATAATTTTTATATTAATGGGCTCTGATGCACTAGCTGAAGGGGAAGGGATTTTTTCCAATACTGAATCATTCTTATCTTAATTCATATAGGAGAGGGATGAGCCCATATAGACTGGATGGTGAAAGAGTATGGGTGAGAACAGAAAACTGTATTGCTCCTGCAAGACCACATAGTACAAATTAAGGTGCTGTTGGGCTCTGATTAAGCCAGGGCCAACTTAAGATAATTGAACTAAAAAGCTGCAAGGGCTGATTAAACCAGGTTGAATTTATTTTAAGATTCAAAATTAGTTTAATTCAAGATCGATAACTAAGGTAACATTTACGTTACAAAAAAAAAAAAAGATAACTAAGGTAACATTCAAGTGCTTGAGTTCAGTTTCATTCATACTAATCATAACATAACCTAGTAGCAACAGGCATATAATTTTAGAAAACTTACTCGCACAAGAATGCATCAGCTTCATCAATGAAAACCAGCATGCCTTTCTTGGACTTCTTAGCCCAGTCAAATATTTGATGGATCTTGGTAACAGCCTCTGATCCTAAGGGTGCAACATCTCCTCCTGTCATCATGGCATAATCCAGGCCCTGTCATGTCAGGGATGTAAGGGTGCGAGTATTATTGGATACCAGTTCGAACTGATTAATTAATTACCAAACTTGTGTCCCCCACTAGTCCCATTTCAAAAGAGGAAGAAGAAGATAATCCAATTACTTAACATAACAAAAATACAAAATCTAACAACTTCCATAGACCACCAGCATCTCTATTATCGTTTTAAGTCTCAAAGTGACAAGGAAAAACAAGTTATTTCAGGGGACTAGCGTGTTCCTATGGATGGAGGATGGTGCAAGAAAAAACAGATCCACAGAACTTACAGATTTGCGAGCCATCTCTCTGGCTACTAAAGTTTTGCCAGTTCCAGGAGGTCCATAGAACAGCATGTTGCGGAATGGTGCACCGTGAGACTTTGTATTTGCAGTTGCTCGTGCAAGATGTTCAATCCTCCGCTTGAGTGAAGGGTGCAGAATAACATTCTCAAAGCCTGCTCCCCCCGACAAAGATGCTGAGCTAGGTTTGAGTAACCTAGACATTGGTAGTGGGAACTTTGGCATTGATGATTCACGGATCAGCGAAGGCTGGCCCAAGATTCTATTGATGTAACTCCATGTAACCCTCGCACCTTCCCTGAAAAATGAAAATAGAAAACAATAAAAGTTAGAAGTCTCTATTATCGTGTGCGAAAATGTAACAGGTACAGCTAGGATTTGTTAATGTTTTGTGTCTAGCACTAAAGGGCGTACCCAGTGCAGAGAGCTCCCGCTCTGTGCGGGGTCTGAGGAAGGGTGTCAGTGGCAAGCCTTACCCTCGCATGTGCAATGCGAGGAGACCGCGACTCGAACCTGGGATTTGTTAATGTTTTGTGTCTAGCACTCTAAAAATAAAATTAGGGAGGCAAACCTAGTAGTATAAACTCCAGCAGCCAGTGCAGTAACTCCTCCAATACCCATTATTAGTTTGCTCCTATCAGTTAACAGCGCTTTGAATCCACCTACAAGTCCACATGAGAAAGGATCATAACCAGTGCAAATAAGAAATTAATATATTTGAGCATTATTTTAGTACTAGAGTTGTTTATAAGAAGAATGGCTTTGGTCCTTGTCTGTAATTCAGGATAAAATGGTTTCAGAAAACATGATGCAATAGTATTGATGAGACCAAAGTGCATATGCACTTGCAAATTACTACAAGAAAAACTTTTTTTAGATATAAACTACTACTGTTCCAAATTGCAAGTTGTTCAGGATTTTTTTAGATATACATAGTTATGTATCTAGAAAAGCCAGAACGACTTACAGTTTGGAACGGAGGGAGTATTTAAAAATACAGGATCAGCAGACATGTATTTGTCCAACTAGACCAAAATAGAGGTTTATCTTTTTTTAATTGCCTGGGACATTCTAGTGAGAGCGGTAGATTAACTTCATAAAATTGCTAATGAAAAAGGCATTGAAACCTTCAATGTGCGAAAAGGTTATATTTATTGCAGAGAGCCACTTTTCCTTTTCACCCTTCATACGTTCCAACATCATTCTTTTCAAAACTTCTTCTGATTGCTTCTCTTCATGAACGCGAGCTTGTGCTTCTGCTAAAGCTTTAACTCTGTTTATTTCTTGATCTATTTCAGCTTTTTCCTTCTCAGTCTGTATCATTTCTTCCAAAATCTTCTGTTCTGTTGCACGCCTAGCTTCTTCTCTCCTGAGGGCAGATGCCTCTTGCATCTTCACAAGTTCAGCATCCTGTCGCCTCTGTGCAGCATGCTCTGTCTGCCAAAATGGATATGCTTGATTAAATTGTGTGTAAGCCACTAAGCCTCATAGCAGCACCAGCATTATAGGAGGTAGCTAAAAAAATATAAAAAGAGAGTTTTCAATACCTGCATTCTTTTTCTAGCCAATTCATCCTCATAGCGTAATGCTTGAGCTTTTGCCTGAGCTTCTTGTTGCAAACTATTTCTGTAATCTTCAGCTTTTTTCTGCATCCTCTCCTGCAGATCAGATATTGAGGATCACTGTAGGAACATAAGTTCACTGCTGGAAATCCATACCAAAGAACCACAATAGTTGGATGCATACGCACGTGCACACAGAGAGATGGAGAAGTTGAAAAACTCTTAAACACATTACCAAAGTTCTACAGTTCGAACTTTTCATGTTGATCAGTTGTCCCGTTGTCCGTTTTATATGCTGTGGACTTGTGGAGTTTTAAATTTGTAGTTACTTGCTATCCACAAAGGTCAGGCAGAGTTGTTTTGCACGTCCACTGTTTTGATGAAGCCCGACATCTCATTGTAAAGTTAATATGCTTCACTGATCCCAATTATAACGGTAACCCCAATCTTATGCAATTGATTTCCACAAAGTAAAGCGAGGAAGATAGTCAGGCTGTTAGGCATATAAGATAAGATTCAGTAGTTGAGAGGTTCGGGTCGCGTGAGCAACCAATCTCCAGACGCAGCCGACGTCCTGGCTGCAACATCAACATCATTTGCATCAAGAAAGGGGACAAGGCGTCAGGAGCTCACCATGTCCCTGAGCCTCTCGTGGATGGCGTATTGGACCTTCTCGGCCTCCAGCTCAGTGAGGCGCGTCTCCTCCTGCTTCCGCATCAGCTCAAACACCTGCACCCGAGCAACAACATGAACAGCGTCAGGAGGGGCAGACCCCGTTAGGTGGCGCAAAAGGGAGGGCACCTTGCCTGCTTGGCGAGCGGTGAGTTGTTGATATACCGCAGCGCTCGGGCCATGCGCTCCAGGGTCTCCGGGTCGCGGCCGAACGCGGAGGCTCCCAAATTGTCCTCGTCGCCTGGATTCGACGGCGGGGACTGGCGGCGGAAGAGGCCGTCGGCGTAGGCGACGTTGGTGAGCGACGCCATTGCAGCGGCCGCGCCGGCGACAGCCGACGCCGCCCTACCTGGCGAGCGCAGGCGGAGGCGGCGCCGCATGACGAGGGAGGCGTAGGGACCCAGGTTTTTGGCGGTGCGTCGGCTGTGGGGAAAAGAGACGCGAGGAGGAAGAAGGGAGCTGCGCGCCTGCGCCGCGATGGACTAAGGGGCTTCTGGCTAAACCCTCCGCTTTCTTTCTTCTTTTCCAAGAGTCCAGCTTGACCTGGGCCTGCCGACAAAGCCGTTGGACACTGTCCCTCTCCCTCAGGAGTCAGGACCAGTTTAGGCCTTGCTTGGCAAGACCCAACACAGGCCCATCAACATGAGGCAATGGCGAACTGGGTCTTACCAAACCAGGCCTTACACGCTATAAATCCAAATACGCCTGGGTCACTAGGGATTCAATCAAGGATGTAAATGTAATGGAGATATGTTAACTCGGAAATTCTGTCTGAGAGCAAAGTATGCATAAAAATTTAACAATCTGGTTAACTTTCATTGACCCTATGTTACAAATCGGAAAGAGGTGGGGGAGGAAGTCAAGATGCAAACAAGGAAAACAAACGAGTTGGGGCTGCAAGAGAAGGGAGGCAATACATAAAGAATCATGTGCGGCTAGACGCTAAATTGAAGTTAATACGCTACAGTAACCCTACAACATGGAGGAGTTAGTAGTCATCTTCGTCGTCCAGGTCTGGATCATTCGATGGCCGTAATCTCTTGCCATCTCGCCCACCAGAGCGCCCTCCCTTCTTTGGTTTGCCTCTGTCGAAAGTAGGCAGGGAATCAGAACCAGGCATCAACACCATGAACCAAAGTTCATTTTGCAACAACTAAGACAAACTTCTTCATTCTAAGGGCTCAAATGTTTAGCGAACTTCATAAAATCACTGCAGAAATTGTATCTGAAAACTTACTGCCCATTTGCAGGAGTGCTTCCACCCTTTGAACGACCTGCTCCATACTCTCTTCCATCTGCCAGGATTATACAAGTATTGAAAATTGAAATGTGCTTTCTTTGGCACCATGGATTTAAATTTCAACCAAGAAGGAAATTTAAGAAAGCTTACCATCTCGTCCAGCCAAATGTTCATCGACCTGTATATGCACAGGAAAAGGTAGCAGAAATTAACAAACTCCAAACTTTGGAAAGCCATAGGAAAAGAATAATTTGAAGCCGTGTGCCATTCAGCAACATTTAGCAGTAATGCTCGTACCGCTGGAGAAGTAACTGATGATAGAGAGAATAACCTCTCGTCAGCCTGAAATTTCCGAGAGCGCTTAACGCTGAAATCAGTCAGAAGCCATCATGAATGTTCTATGTGATCAGCATTACATGAACTGACTCAAAAATGCAAAATCGAAAGAAAAAAAATAACAGAACATTTGCCTCTACAGAATAATCACGTCACACCATAATCTCAAATGGACAATGATCACCATAGTCTAAATTATATTTCCAAAATATAAAGCTCTCATGCTGAGTTGCTGACACTACACGCAGTAGGTAAAGGAACTGGCATGACAAGACATAACACGAGCATAGAAGGATTCCTTGCACCCAAATTTTCCTCCAATAGATAGACTATACATGACCCATGCTGATATATACAGTTCTAAGGTCAGGTCTCAATCATATAGTAATGCAATCAAGGAACAGAGACATTGAAATGTCAAAAAAAAATGATACTATATGCAAAGAGTACTATATGCCAAAAAACTGAAGATCTCGAACTATTGAAGATTGCAACAGTTACTCAATATCAGAATAATGAAAACTTAGGTGTCTTACTTAGAGGTGTTTTTTGAGGATGACAAAAAAGATTCGAAACCCTTCAGAACACTTCCAAATTGATTAGACTCTTGTAGGTAGGTGGTCTCCATATCATAAACCTGGGATTGTCATTATCATTAGTTCAACAAAATTACTAAAAGAATGTAGACTAAGAACTTTAAATTTCTTTGGTTGCTTAATTTTTGTTCATGTCTAAAGAACAAGTTATGTTTTTTCATTTTTGCTAAAGACAATTGCCCATCTAGATATTACTGGTCTAACAAATAAGAGCACACTTTAAAGCGGAAGTTTACAAATATTTGAACATTTGAATGCTCCTCAGGTATATAAGTTTAACTTAGTCAACTTTACTACATGCAGGTGACACTACAGATATTCTGCTGTCTCTAGAACATAGGATTAAAAACTGCTAATTTGGTTAAAAAGGATCAACCACCAGTACTTTGCCTCCTCAGTTGAATTGAAAGGCTTCAAACAAGGGCAATATGTATCCTTCCCTTTTATGAAAAAAGAAACATTGCCTTCTTTGATAAATCGGCTATTCAATTGATTCAAGGACGAAAGCATAAGATTCAAAACTAAAGTATATTTTCTGTATTCTGAAACCCTTAATAGAGCCATGTGAGAAAGCATACTGGAATACAGAATAACTATAACTAATTCTTCTGGTCATCCTATAAGTCGAATACATTGTTTATTATTTTGTAGTTTGGTAATCAGCAAATGCAATTTGTTAGCATCAAGTGTTTCATATCACTTGAACTTAAGTGATTAGCAAAGCATATTAGGAAAGAGGGCATGTTAAGCGCATCAACAAAAATTCTGTTCACTAATCTAGATTCTTGATTTAATCCAATAGCAAACTTTGGTCACTGCGTCGGTACCTCCACCGAAATGAACTCACAGTTTACTTCCATCCTCTCCAATGGTCAATGGAAACTATATTCTTTAGGATTGAAGGCCACGATGGCCCTGTGCATGTGCAATTACATCAGGGTTCAATGTAGTTGTTCTGAAACTTTGTTTTTTCACTAGGATTTGTATTGTTCTTGAGCCAATACACACGCATTTTAGGACAAACTTTGGTTGCCACATACATCTGTGAGTCGAATTCTACGATCTCTCAGCGCCTCAAATCAAAATGTCGACCAACAGTCCTCCCGGAGAGGGAGCGGGGTTTCATATCTTTGGCAACGGCAAGTCCCGTGAAGGACCCGAAGAAAGATCGCAGCTTTTGAACAACATACGCGCCTACCGACACAAACCCTAACGGAAAAGGGATCCTGGTGGGACAGTGGGAGGTGGAGAAGACCTAACCTGGCGCTCGATGGAGCGGAGCTCCTCCTGGAGCTTGGCGCGCTTGCTCATGAGCGCCGAGAGCATCGCCGTGGGATTAGGCGCCGGTGGCGCCGGCGAGGGCGCGGAGCCCGAGGCTGCTTTGTGCGCGCCGCTCCCTCCTCCGCCTCCCGAATCCATGGCCACCGTTTCTAGGGTTTGAGTTCGCGTCCGCCTGTCCGGGATGTTGGGTTTCGGCTCGGTTGTTGTACAGGCGGGTCGTTGCCAATCGACCACGTCACGCGCGAATCCTCGAGCGAGACCTTTTTTTTGTCAGAAGTAAAATTGCATTGGAAATGTAAGACTAGCCACAGTGTGTGCGATGCTTAAAATTTTTATCCTACAAAGTTTAATTGGTTGGAACTCCCGCTTAAGCCACAACGTGGCACACGTGGCTATCCACATGTAAGATTGGTTCCTTCTCATTCGCTAGAGGCATACCGGTGCCTAGTTTTTTTTCGGCAACTCGGCATCCGGCCACAATGTTAGGCATCGATGCTTGGAGTTCAGGGATTTTACAACGTTGTGGCTAGTCTAAGATTGGTTAATTTGAAGTTCAGGGAGAACTTTTTGTTAATTTTGTTTTTTAACATTAAAATTTTGAGCCAAAAATGAAAGCAAGGTCGTTGCGCAAATTTAGTGGAGCCACAGATTTGCATTGCGTTTTTTTGGGCAAAGAGAAAGCTTTATTAGTTAAACGGTAATGATACGTCACGTCTGGACGCGGCTCATCCTTATCCACTCATCCACATACCCCACCCGCAATGCGCTGCGCGCCCCCGCTCGCGCGGGACAGACTCCCTTGCCCGTGCCACCCCCACTCGTGGGACGAACTTCGTCTGCGCCACTCGCCGACTCCAGCCCCGCTCAAGGCTCGCGAGACGAACTCCGCCGACGCCACCCTCGCCCGCGCCGCGTGCCTCCCTCGCCCAGGCTCCCGCCTCCCGCCACAGTCGCGCTCCATCCGCCTGCCACGCCCACTGTCAAGGTCCGTGCCACCGTCGAGCTCTGCACCGGCGACCTCCGCGACTCTGTGGCATCGAGCTCCGCGTCAACATCGAGCTCCACAACGACGAGCTCCAATCGTCCAAGCAGCAAGGTGGCATTGCGCTGAAAGCACATGTTGCAAGCGTATGTTTCAAGTGTTACAGTTGCTTCAGAGGTATGTTGCAAAGGGTTTTGAATGGATGTTGCAAAAGTAGATCGGGATGTTGCATATGTTGCAATGGTTGTACACTTATGTTGCAAACGTCTATTTCCAATGTTTCATCTATTTTTATCAGACGTATGTTGCGAGTGTGTTTATCTAGATGTTGCATATGTTTCACACATATGTTGCAAGTGTTTTATCTACATGTTGCGTTTGTGTTGCAATATTTTTTTTAAGTGTTTCATGTGTTTTTTAAGTGTTTCAGACGCATGTTTCAAGCACTCTATCTGTCTTCAGACGTATGTTGCAAGTGTTATATCTGGATATTTCAAAAGTAGATCGGGTGTTGTATCTCCCTCCTCGCCTTTTGCTGCCTTGCATCCTTCTCAGACTGGGGAGGGGGCGCGCCGAGGCCCGGCGGAGGGGCGCATCGGGGATGGTGGCGTGGACGCGAGCGCACGCTCTCCCCTTCGGTTACACGAGTAGATAGCGCTTTAGTTCACTTTTTCTGTTACGCGGGAAAGCTTAGATGGGATGCTCCCATTGCTGGGCCTGAGACTGGGAGCTAGGCCATGGTTCGGTTGGTTGGGACCGGGGGCTGTGTTTGAACACAGTAGATACAATGAAGATAATTTCTAAAGTTAGTAATGAAACACAAGTACGAAACTTTTTTAATGGCTTGTGAGTAATAAATAACTTTTATAATGGCACATAGCTAAAATCCTCCTTTTCATCGGAAGTAAAATTGTGTTGGAAATGTTCAGTTGGTGCTTAGATAGTACAGTAGTAGATACAATGAAGTTTTAGGAGGAACTTCCTCTTGTCAATTTTGTTTTTTAACACTAAAATTTTGAACAAAAAATGTAAATAAAAAGTTGGAGGTCATTTGTGCAAATTTACATTTGTCGTGGAGGGACCAAATTTGCATTGCATTTTCGATAATGTTGGGTCAGGACGTTCATCTGTCCCCACTCGTCCGGACACTGGCCCCTAAATGCGCAATGGACCGACCCAACGACCCCCTCAAATCCCCTCATCCGTTTCTAATAAAAAACACCCATCACTCTTATCCGCTCATCGCTCCTATCCGCTTGCCTAGCGCCTCCGAGGAGCAGCGCTTGCCCACCAGACTGTCTGTCCTGCATGCCAAGCACAGCGCGCGGCCTCCTCAGAGCCATGGCGCTCGACCGCCTCCGAGCCGTGGCGCTCAGCCGCCTCCGAGCTATGGCTGCCCTATGCCTCCCTGGCGCCTCATGCATTCGCTACCGCCGACCCACCACGTACAAGCACCGCGGGGCCGCTGTCTCCGACGAACTTAACACGTCAACGAGCCTCTATTCTCCCAAGCAGCAAGGAGATGTTGCAATGTGGTGAAAACACACGTTGCAAGCGTATGTTTTAGGTGTTTCATAGGTACGTTGCAATTGTTTCATGCAGATGTTGCAAAAGTAGATCGAGATGTTGCATATGTTGCAATCGTTGTACACATATGTTGCAAAGATCTGTTTCCAATGTTTCATCTATGTTTTCATATGTATATTGCAAGTGTGTTTTATATGGATGTTGCATATATTTCACATACTCCGTATGTTGCAAGAATTGTATCTGGATATTACATATGTTTTGCAATGTTTTTCAAGTGTGTCGGGTTCATAAACCCGGGGTCCTTCATGGACCGGCTTCCCAACAAAGGCTCGGCCTAGCAGACAACATTGCGAACCAACGCGCATCTCTTGGGCCGGACCAAACACCTAAACGATAGGCCGGAAGGGCGATCCAATCTTCAATCGGAAGGCCTAGCCGAGGAGAAACGGCGCCCGCTTCTCTAACTCCGGCCCGCCACTCCGACCGAAGCGCTCGCTTCAGTCTCTAGCCCGCCTCTGGACGGCCTCTCTGACCGGAAGGCCTAGCCAAATACCGTTTCCGACTCTGACCCGCGTCTTCGACCGGGGATACGCCGAACCCCTACTTACAAGCTCCTTTCCAAACTAGCGCGGTCAGTGCCGACTGGGGCCAACCGACCGGGGATGCCCGCCCGGTAAGGACCAGGAAACGGACGGAGAAAGTAAGGCAGGACGCACAAGTCAAATCGCAATATCAAGGACCATACCCTGTGCACCTACCAGGCAGTACCCTGCGACCCTCCTGGCACGACAGAACTCAAGCAGTGTTGTAAGCGCCGACATTTTCCCCTACAGTGTTGTTGGTGCCATTAACTCCCATACTAGACAAATACGGTAAGGCTCTCCCCACATGTCTCTGGGCATCGATAGTGTTGTGGGCGTCGGCATTTACCGAACCAGACGAATATGATAGAAAACCCTCGCATGCCTCCGGGTATCAACAGTGTGGCAGGCGCCGAGGTCTGCCATACCCAAAGAAGACAACACCCCCCCACGTGCATCTGACATTCAACAGTATTGTGGCCGCCTACCATCATCCTGTACCCACTGGCATGGGAAACAAGACTTAGTAGCATACATACTCTCTCCCTCTCACTTGTAAGACCATCCCCTTCATCTATAAAAGGGGATGCACTCTCTTTCAATAGTTAGATTGTTTTAGATCGACCAGTTCACTACAACACAACAACAGAACCACCAGGTTCAAACCACGAGCACGCGCTCGAACACATAGCACATAGCGGAGCTCCCGTCACTCTTGGCCCCTCTGACTAGAGTCCGACCGGACCTCTTGTACCCCCCATCTTTCTCCCTTCCGTTTGTAACCCCACTGCAAACTTCGAGCACCTGGGCTCAGGAATAAAGTCACCGACCGACTCAAACTGGACGTAGGGCATGTTGCCTGAACCAGTATAAACCATGTGTCATTAAGTGCTAGGCCACCTTCAATCACAACGTATGGTAAAACTATAAATATTTACGTGTTGGTTACTTTCTGCACCGACAAAGTGTTTTCTAGGTGTTTTTTTGTAAGTGTTTCAGAAAAGCATGTGAAAGCATCTAGACCCCTTATTGGGTTTCGGTGATTAATGACAATACGAGATTACTGTGACTAACATGTGTTTTGTAGATGCAATTAAGTTAGGTCATGGTAATGACAATTGATTGGGCAATCATGGTGTCATGCCCCTACGATGGAAATCGTTTTGGTTTTTCAAAGGATGGACGACAAGGTTAAGGATGGACTAGTTCTAAGTGTCGTTTGGTGTTGAAGAGACACTTAGAGTAGTTTATGACTTTGTTTTTCCTTTGGCCGTACTATTAAGGGGGGTATGGACGGGTAGTTTGACCTAGGTGAGTCTAGTGGTTTAGGTGTGGTGCACACTTGTTAAATCTAGCACTAGGTAGCTCTTAAAAAGCCCTTAGATCAATTGGAGCAAACTTCATTCACATATGATTACGATTTGAAAGTGAATAGAGGGTCAAATATTGATCGGACGCTGGTTCCGGTGTGACCGGACGCTGGCGCAGAGTCCGATCAGTTCATTTGATCAAGGTGAAGTCATCTGGATGCGACCGGACGCTGAGAGTAGAGTGACCGGACGTTGGGTGCCAGAGTCCGGTCAACTCCAGTAAGGTCCCAGAGAGGGAGAATCCTGATTGGACGCGTCTGGTCAGTGCTGACCGGACGTTGGTTAGGTTCCGGCTACTGACCGGACGCTGAGCAGCAAAGTGACCAAACGCTGGGTTTCAAAGTCCGGTCAACATCAGTAAGGTTCTAGAGGGCAGTTTTCGTGACCGGACGCTGGTCTATGTCCGGTCACAACTTAACTGCTCGGTGGCGGGGAGAACTGACGGAGCGTCCGGTCACCCCGCAGAGGCACGTAACGGTTCGTTTTGAACAAGGGTGTATAAATACTTCCTCTATTCATGTGAGGGATCACTTTTGCTCATTCCAACAGCTGAGAAACACCCTTGAGAGTGCCAAAAGAGTAAGGTCCTAGTGAGGTAATTGAGATTTGAGAATCCAAGTGAGAGGCCTCATTAATGAAAGGAAGAGTTGCAAAGTGTGCATCCACCCTTCTCAT